GTAGGTGCATTGTCATGGTGGAAGAACCAGCCACCTATTTGCCACAGCTCAGGATGTTTCTTCCGCAAATCATGACTCAAGCTCCCCAAGCTTTCCAGATAAAAACTTTGACTGTTTGATCCGGAGAAACAAATTCCAAGTGTACTACAAGGGACCCACCCTCTAAAAGATAATTCCAGGGCTTTTGGGGTTCCCTTATATATGGGTGTGTTTTAGAGGTGGGGATCTTGCTATGTTGCCCAGGCCAGAGGGCAGTGGGTATTCATATGTTCTTTCATTGCATACTGCAACCTCAAACTCCTGGGTCTGAGCCTTCCAAAGAGCTGGAGCCATAGTATGTTTTTGTATGTAATGAATAAACAAGCCTCACTGAGTTAATGTATTTCAACCATATAAACTTATGTTAAGCTTGTATATCTATTTTAATCCTGAAATTTCATTTTGATTTTTTTTAAAAACAATGTATTTTGGAATCTCAGAACCAAGTTTAATTAAGAAAAATTATATTTATTGGGATCTATACCCAAGTACCTCACATATAAAGATGTGAAACATCCCTAGGGCAGGATCTCTCATAAGGCTCTTTCACGTTTAATCTTTCCCCCTACTTGTCATTTAGTCTTTATATTGCATATCTTTTTAGCAATGTATACTTTATATATTTGCTAACACTTCTGTAAAAATAGGTAACAGTTAGTCAGGGTTTGCCTTAGTTTATATAGAAAATATGTGTTCTGTCTTGATTAGGTCAGATAGAGTGTAAACAGAACTGCAAACCTTCTAAAATTGTAAAATGGTTAGAGCCAGGCACAGTGGCTCACTCTTGACATCCCAGCACTTTGGGAGGTGGAAGTGAGAGGAATGCCTGAGCCCAAGAGTTCAAGACCAGCCTGGGCAACTTGACGAGAACTCCTCTCTACAATAAACAAAACAATTAGTCTGGTGTGTGGTATGTACCTGTAATTCCAGCTGCTTGAAAGACTGAGGCAGAAGGAGTGCCTAAGCCCAGCAGGTTGAGGCTGCAGTGGTGGTCAGCATGCCACTGCACCCCAGCCTGGGTGACAGTGAGACTCTGAAAAAAAAATATAAATATAAATAAGTAAAGTGATTAGAAAGATTCAAAATAGACTGTATATACATTGTTGGTCAAGTTCAAATTAGTACGACTTCTATGGAAATACATATGGAGATTTCTCAAAGACCTAAAAGTAGATCTACCATTCAATCCCCAAATCCCACTACTAGGTATCTAACCAAAGGAACAGAGGTCATTCTACAAGAAAGACACCTGCACTTGGATATTAATTACAACACAATTCACAATTGCAAAGATGTTGAATCAACCTAAATGCCCATCACCTGATCTGTGGATAATGAAAATATGGTATATATACCATGGAATACTATCCAGCTGTCAAAAAAATGAAATCATGTCTTTTACAGCAACTTGGATTAAACTGGAGAACATCATTCTAAGTAACACAGGAATGGTAACCCAAATACTACATGTTTTCACTTATAACTGGGAGCTAAACTAAGGATCTGCAAAGGCAGAGAGAATAATACAATGGACATCAGAGACTCAGAAGCAGGGGAGGGAAGGAGTGGAGGGGCAAAGTACTAAACCATCAGGTACAATGTGCACAGGTTGAGGTGATGGGTGCACTTCAAGCCTAGACTTCTTCACCACTATACAATATATCCATGTAACCAACAACTATAGTCCCTAAAGCTACTGAGAGAGGGAGGCTTTACAGTAGATTGTGGTTAAATTTGATGACCTAACATACAATAGATTGTGGTTAAATTTGATGACCTAACCTGTTTTATCTTTAACATTTAGGATTGTGACTCTATAAAGACTATCTGAGATATAAAACTGAAACCCTTATAGGTGTCCATTTCCTAAAGGCTCTCCCTTTTCCCATGCAATTCAATACATATATTTTAACATCTTTCATATACAAAACAATGTGATGGAAATACGATGATGAAAATACAGGTCCTTTCATTTACAATCCAATAACAGAAGTTTGAAAAAAAATTAATTATTCGGGTTGATAGAAGAGTTTCCGTGGGCTATAGAATCAAAGAGGAAGGGTATATATCCTGGATTTTAAAAGCCTGCCAGGGACTGGGAGTAGTGAAGATGTTAATTGGAAGGAAAATAACGTTTGTCATTTAAGGAGAAGAAAGTACTTAAAAGCTCAGAAATAGAGATCACAGGGTGCATACCTACTTCATCAGTGAACTTGAGCCTGAACACAGAGTAAGAGGCAGGAAAGGAATCCAAGGGCTCCTGGGGACAATGGGAAGCAGGGAAAGTGGAAAAACCTGCTCAGATTTGCATTTTAGAGCGATTGCACAGGCTGCAGGGTGGAAAATGGATTGCAAAGAGAGGCAGGGAGAGCACTTAGGAGTTTGTCTCAATACTCCAGACTAGACATGATGGAACCTAGGCCCCTTACACTCAAAATGGGGTCCCCAGATTAATAACATCCACATCCCCTGAAAGCTTGTTAGTCATGAAGACTCCTGCCCCCACCCTCACACTGACCTGTGAACCAGAATCTTCATTTTATTAAGATCCCCTGGTCAGGATAAAGCCATAGGCATTTTTGAAAGATGGTTAGAGGGTAACAACATGACGTTGAGTCTTAGGATGAAGGCAGTGGGAGAGAAGAAAGATTAAATTTTGATTGCAACAGCCAAAATAATTTGTATCACGCATGAGATCAGTGTGGTTACAGTGTGTTAGGCACTATCCTTCAGAAGGAGATTCTTGCGTTGAGAAGCCTCCGGCTGAGCCGTGCTCCGGTCCCCAACTGTTGTGCTCATGTAACACATGAGAGAGGGGAGAGTCTTGGGACAGGGAGTCAAAGAGAACTGGTTCTAATCTCGGCTCCATAAACTCTGTGACCTGGTGCAAATCCCTCCCCGTCTTTGGGCCTCAATTTACTCATCTCTTTTTTAACATTTTAAATTATTTTTTAAAGCATTTTTCCTATTATTTTTTGGAGACATAGTCTCACTCTGGCTTCCAGGCCAGAGTGCACAATCACAGCTCACAGCCTCAAATTCCTGGACTCAAGTGATCCTCCTGCCTCAACCTCCTGAGTAGCTAGGACTACAGGAGCTTTGCCACCATACCTGGCTAATTTTTTTTTATTTTTGTAGAGGTGAGGTCTCACTGTGTTGCCCAGGTTGGTCTGTAACTCCTGGGTGATCCTTATGCCTTGGCCTGCCAAAGTGCTGAGACTACAGGCATGAGCCACTGTGTCCAGCCTGGTTTACTCATCTCTACAAGGAGGCGACTGGACTGCATGATCTGGGGCACTTTCTGTTTGGCCATCAGGATGCTGTCCTGACACTAGTGTGAGCCTCTGGGGGAGTAGGACAATATTTGGGGATGTCTGTAAAGCATTATTGGAAGTTTAATACATAAAAACAAAACTAAACAAAATACTTTCTTGGGAGAAGTGGTTCCCATCCACTGGCCTTCCCTTGTGACTCTCCCATAGTCACATCTGAGGGCTCCCAAGAACAGGTGTCTGACATGGGTGGGGAAGAGTAGATCACCCATGAACACTCTGCTGTGCCCACAGAGAGAGAAGCTATAAAGAGTGGAGCAAATGAGGGTTTTCATTAAAGCCACTGGGGGGGGGCGGTGAGGGTTGATAATGGGGAAGGCTGTTCAAGGGTTAGGACAGAGAATGGATGGGAGTATGGGAACTCTCTGCTTTCTAGCTCAGTTTTGCTGTGAACCTAAAACTACTCCAAATTTTACTAATTAAAAACCTATCATCTACTTTTCTAAAGATTTTTATCTCCTACATGTATAAGTTTTATCTCCTACATGCATAAGTTTTATCACATATTTTTAGTTAAATATGTGAAGTATTAAACTTCAGTGTGTTTGAGAGCAGAGAGGCTTTGTCTTTTCAAAAAGGATTTTTTTCTATTGTCTCTAAAAATCTCAATGTTGTGTCATATGACTTAACAATTATCATGACTTCAGACCAAATAGAGATGATCAAAGGTCAGCAAAAACAAGAGGGATAAAAATCTTGAAATCAAGAAGTCGAATAATCTTTTTTAGTAGAAGTTTCTAAGTAAATAGAGAGCGCTTTATGAGCTTAATTCCAAAGTCTTTATTCAAACAACAATTCTCTTAGTTAGTGGAACTTTTATTTGGATAGAGAGCATAGAATTAGGAGATTAAGAGGCAGGTTATAAGGAGTCTAAATCCAAACTCTTAGCAGAACTATTAGAAGTCAGACGGTCTGACGCTGGATCATTCCCTCAACCCTTTCCTTCCTTCTCCCTGTTCTTAATGCTTTGCTGGAATGTCAGTGGAAATGACAGGCTGAGGAATGAAAGATTTTGTTGGAGTCTCGGCCAGGTATTCCTGAACACCATACTATGTAGATCAGTGGCTCTCTTCTGCTAGTGTCCAAGATTGACTAGATTATTATTTTATTTATTTGTTTGTTTATGTTGGGGATTTCACTCTGCTGCCCAGAATGAAGTGCAGTGGCAGCATCATGCATTGCTCACTGGAGCCTCAATCTCCTGGCCTCAGGTGATCCTCCTGTTTTAGCCTCCCAAGTAGTTGGGACTACAAGTGCGCACCACACTTGGCTAATTTTTCTATTTTTTGTACAGTTGAGGTCTTGCTATGTTGCCTAGGCAGGTGTTGAACTCCTGGTCTTAAGCAGTCCTCCCACTGTGGCCTCCCTGAGTGCTGGTATTACAGGTGTGAGGTCCTGCTTTCACTCATACCAGCAAAGGCTGAGCGGGGCTCCTAGACTTCCACCCTCATGAGGCTACAGCATCCCAGCATACCCTCCAGGTGGTATCAGAAGACCAAATAGGAAATTGGGATATCCCCCGCCCACTGGCCTGTAATGGGGTTCACCCCTTCCCCAACAGTGTCAGCAAAGACAATGTGGGGTTAGAATTCCCATCTCCCTCAGGCAGTAGTGAAGAGACTCCTCAACCTCAAGTGCCAAGGAGGCCAAGTTGGGAGCCTGAACTTCTACCCCCACCTGACAGCCCCATGAAACAGCACACCACCGTTTCCCTGTTAGAGATGTGCCTGAGGGAATGCCAGCTAAAACAGAAAGTTTAAATAAAATCCTGAGTCTCATAACGTAATACAGTTATGGATCACTTAATGATGGGGATACATTCTGAGAAATGCATTGTTAGGTGATTTTGTCACTGGGAGAGCATCACAGAGTATATTTACACAAACCTAGATGGCATGGCCTACTGCATAGCTAGGCCATGCAGTAGACCCATTGTTCTTAGGCTATAAACCTGCACAGCATGCTATGGTACTGAATACTCTAGGCAGCTGTAACACAATGGCAACTAAATATGGAAAGGATACAGTGAAAATGTGATGTTATCATCTTATGGGATCACTTTCATATATGTAGTCCATCGTAGACTGGATGTGCCATATGTGGGATATGGATGCAATGACTGGACAAAAATGACCAGGTTTCAATCGAAATCACTTGTCATACCAAGAATTAAGGAGATAGTAAAATGAATGAAACAAGTAGATACTAATACTAAGATGCCAGAAATACTGGAATCGGCAGACAGAGGTTGTAAAGTAGTCATGATGAAAATACACAGAGTAAATAAGAACACTCTTGAAACCGTAACAACAAAATAAAAAACCTTAGCAATAAAATAAAAGACATAAAGAATGGTAATTTTGTAACTGAAAAATACAATCACAGAAATTAAAAGCTTAGTTGGATGAGTCACACAGCAGATGGAGGGGAAAAGGAGAAAATAACTGTGAATGGGAATAGAACAATAGAAATCACCTTACTTGAATACCAGGGAGAAAACAGACTGAAAAACAAACAAACAAAAAAACATGAACAGAGCCTCGGGGATCTATGGCGTTATAACAAAAGGTCTAACAATTGTGGCATTGGATTCCCAGAAAGAGAGGAAAGAAAAACCAACATTGAAAAAGAACTTAAAGAAAAAATGTCTGAAAAGTCCCCAAATTTGACAAGAGACATAAACCTACAAATTCAAGAAGGTGAGCAAACCCAGACCAAAGAACAAACAGATCATCATAATTAAACTTAAGACACATCATAATTAAACTTCTGAAAACTAAAAACAAGCCAGGCTCGGTGGCTCAGCCTGTAATCCTGCGGCTTTGGGAGGCTAAGGTGAGTGGATTGCCTGAGCCCGTGGGTTCGAGATCCGCCTGGGCAGGGAGACCGCATCTCTACAATAAATCAAAAAATCAGCCGGGCGTGGTAGCGCATGCCTGTAATTCCGGCTACTTGGAAGGCTGAGGCAGAAGGATCGCCGGAGCCCAGCAGGTGAGGCTGCGGTGGCAGGGAGCGGCCGCTGCACTCCAGTCTGGGAGACCAAGTGAGACTCCAACTCAAAAAAAAAAATTAAAAAAAAACTCAAAACAGAGAAAAAACATTTGAAAGCAGCCAGAAAAAAACAATATCTTACATACACGGGGTAAATAACAAGAATGATAGCAAATTTCTTGTTAAAAATCATGAAGAAACAAAGGAAGTAGTAAAAATATTTTTCAAGTTTTGAAAGAAAAGTCAACACAGAATCTGACATCCAGATAATATGACTTCCAAGAATAAAAGACAACCAATACATTTTCAGAAAAAGAGATAAGAGTTTTTGGTTTTGTTTCCAACAGAAGCACCAAGAATAATGGCCAAACAAGTTCTCTAAATAGAAAGGAAACAATAAAAGAAGAATCCTTGTAACATTAGGAAGGAAGAACACAGAAACCAAAAATATGGGCAAATACAATAGACTTTCCTTCTCATTTTGAGTTTTCTAAATTATGTTTGATGGTTGAGCAAAAATTATAACACTGATGTGATTTAAAATGTATGTAGAAGAAATAGACTGTATAAGATAATTGTATTATAAATGTGAGAAATAAAAGTATATAAAGAGAGGTAAAGTTTTTATGCTTCACTTGAACAAGAAGAAGAAGGGCATAAGTGGATTATAATTCGGATTTCCCTCTCTAAAAAAAAAAGACAACCAGTATAGTGGGACGAATATGTGTAGGTATTCCCCATTTCAAGACTGAATATATAGCTACAGTAATCAAGACTATATGACACTGATAGAGAGATCGACACATAGACCAACGGGACAGATCAGAGAACCCAGAAATAGACCCATACAAATATGCTCAACTTATTTGTGAAAAAAACACAAAAGCATTTCAACAGAGAGAAAAAGTCTTTTGGAGCAAATGGTGTTGAGCAGCTGAACATCCACAGGCAAACCTACAAAAACCTCAACAAGCACAACATATACAAAAATTGAATTTTAGAAAAAAAATTCAAAAATTTTAATGAAATTCTAGAAAAAATAAAAGAAACATAGAAATTTAGAATGTAGAGCTAGGTAGACGTTCCCAGACATGATATTAAAAGCACAATTCATTTTTTAAAATTGATAAACTAGACTATACCAAAATGAATAGTTCTCACTCTGAAAAAAAAAATCCTAAAAGGATAAAAAGACACGCTACAGAGTGGGAAAAAATTGTAAACCTCTTATCTGAGAAAAAAACTAGTATCTTGATTGTATAAAGAACCCTCAATATTTAACAGCAAAAAAACACAAACAATTCCACTAGAAAATTAGTAAAAGGTATGAAAGAACATTTCACTGAAATGAATATATGAATGATCAACAAGCACACGAAAAGATGTTCAACATCATTAGCTATTAGGTAAATGCAAGTTAGTACTACAAGTTATCAGTAATACTTACTAGAGTGTCTAAAATGAAGATAGTGAGAAAAACAAATAGTGGTGAAGACACAGAGAAACTGAATTACTCATCCATTCCTGGTGGCATTATAAAATGGCACAGATATCCTGGAAAATAGTTTGCTAGTTTCTTAAAATACTAGACACACACCTACCATACAAACTAGCAAACATACTCTTGAGCATTTATCCCAGAGAAAGAAATATTTACATTCACAAAAAACTTGCACACAAAGTTTTGTAGCAGCTTTATTCATCATAACCAAAGTCTAGAAATAGTTTAGATGTCCCTCAATAAATGGATGGTTAAACAGTGCCACACTCATACCATGGAATACTTACTGCTCAGCAAAAAAGGAACAAAACTACTGATATACACAACAGCGTGGATGAATCTCCAGATCCATTTTAGGTTGTGCTGAGTAAAATAAGTCACATCAAAAGGTCATTCACTGTATGATTCTATTTACGTAACATTTTAAAAATGATAAAATTACAAAATGGAGACCACATTAGTGGTTGCCAGGTATTAAGGAGGAGAGTGGCGGCAGTGGGGAAGGTGTGTGGCTGTAAAAGGGCAACGAGAGGGATCCTTGTGGTAATGGATGGACGTGGTCTGTGTCTTGAAGGTATGAACATCACTACCCAGTTTGTGAGACAGTATGATAGTTTGTTGTTTATTGATGGTACTAGATGGGAAAATTGGGTAAAGAGTGATCTCTGTATTATCTCTTACAATTGCCTGTGAATCTACAATTATCTCAAATTAAAAAGTTAAATTTTTAAAAAGGCTATTGAAGATATACACTGTACTGGAAGGACCACAATAAGGCAGGGCTATCATGAAGAGCCTTGTAACTTCCATAGCAATCTACAGATATTAAATTAGTTTGGGTCTTTGCCCTTGAGATTTGGATTTAGGCCTGATTTAGACTTGGCTTGATTTGTGAGTTTCTGGACAAGTCTGGACATCTCACTTACTCTTTCCCGTTTGTTAATCTACTGCTAGGGTGATTTGGTGCATATTCACTGAAGAAGTTAGAGAGGATATTCTTGTTCAACTCCTATTTTGTAGTTACTATGTCTGTTTGTCCAACAACCTTGATACTAAAACAAAACAAACTTTTTAATTGAAAGCAAAAAGGGGGTTGGGTGCAGTGGCTCATACCTATAATCCCAGTGTTTTGGGAGGCCAAGGAGGGAGAATTGCTTGAGGCCAGGAGTTTGAGATCAGCTTGAACAACATAGTGAGACTCCAACTCTATAAAAAATTTAGAAAGATTTAGAAAGATTAGCCAGGTGTGGTGGTGTGCATCTGTAGTCCTAGCTACTCATACATGTGTGTGTGTGTGTGTGTGTGTGTGTGTGTGTGTGTGTGTGTTTTCTTTTTCTTTCTTTCTTTCTTTCTTTCTTTCTTTCTTTCTTTCTTTCTTTCTTTCTTTCTTTCTTTCTTTCTTTTTCTTTCTTTCTTTCTCTCTTTCTTTCTTTCTTTCTTTCCTTCTTTCTTTTTCTTTCCTTCTTTCTTTCTTTCTTTCTTTCATTTATTTGTTTATTCAGACAGTGTCTCACTCTGTCACCCAAGCTAGAGAACGGTAGCACAATTATAACTCACTGCAGCTTAACCTCCTGGACTCAAGTGATCCTTCTGCCTCAACCTCCTGAGTTTTATATATATTATATACACACACACTATATATACACATATATGTATATACACACTATATATATAGTGTGTGTGTGTGTGTGTGTGTGTGTGTGTGTATGTGTGTGTGTGTGTTGTTTTTTTGAACAGAACTCTCTGTAACCCAGGATGGGGTGTAGTGGCATGATTAGGGCTCACCACATATTTTGTTTTTTGTAGAGATGACATTTCTCTATGTTGCCTAGGCTGGTCTAGAACTCCCAGGTTCAAATAATCTTCCCGTCTTGACCTCCCAAAGTGTGGGATTATAGGCATGAGCCACCTCTCCCATCCAGGCATTGTTTTTATGTAGATACAATAGGTCATATGAATCTCTTATTAATGAGTTTGTAGATAAACTCATCATCCAACTTGATTGTGAGGGAAACAAATTTGAATAGCCTACTCTAAACTATCATAAAAAGAAATATGGGCTCATTTAGGTGTCAGGGAGAACAAGAGTACATCCATGAGGCAAGATTTCTGTTTTGCAAAGGACTCAATTGACAAAATTTATAGACTGGGAGAAGATACCTGTAACTTCTAAACACACAAGGGACCAACCTTTAGAATATGTTCACATCTTCAAATCCTCCAGAAAAATACACAAAATATTTCAGAAAA